CAGGTCCCAGCTGTGAGTCATGAAAACTTGATTCATTTCCAGGAGCTATATTTAAAATTGAACATATAAACAACTAAATTCCCTATGTGTCACAATTCTTTCAAATTAAACTTAGCCAAATATGGGAGAGTACTGCAAAAACAGTGGAAACTGAAGCACTGAAACATTCAAGAAAAGAGCAAGGGACACGGATTTAGAAGCAATGCTATGGAGGGTCAGCCTTACCCAGTCAATTCCATCCTGTGGGGACCATTTGCAACTTATCTTTATAATAAGCATTTTGCAACATAAATTCTAAGGACTGTAGCAAGGTTATGAAACTGGTAAGAGTAATATATGCCCATTTTCTGGGCCTCCATCTACAGTTCTCAGTTCCATTTAAATGCAGCCAACTACTATATATTCCCCAAGCATACTAGATAATAAACACACCATATTAGAAAAGATAATTTTGCTAAGTATATATTTTATAATCTAAACTTGTTCTTAATTCTGCCTAAAAGTTAAGCCTGATAATTTAGCTAAATGATTTGGTAAACAAGTTAATAATAAGCTATTTACCAAAAAATTGATAATGTATAAATTTTTATTAAAGTATCAAATTACATCTGTAAAATTACTGATATACTCAGTATTTCACAACCTCTTCCAATCTTTTCCAATCCATATAATTTACATTTACAAAATTTTTGCTTAGTTTAAAAAGTTTGAAACTGATTAGGTTCAGTTAGCCAAGATTAGTCTTCCAGCTTCCACAATGGCAATTTTAAAGGCATTTTGCTTATATCTATTGTGAGGAAAATATTATGTTGTATTCTATGAGACATATGTAAATATATAAGACATTGTCTCTGAATTCAAGGAAATTATCAGTCTAATAACTGATACAGAAAAGTTGAAAGCATTGTACAGTGACCACCACCTAAATTCTATAATTAACAATTTACTATATAATATTTCCTATTACTCTATTTACATTTTAATTTTTTATGGACATAACTATTCATTCCTCTATACATCCATTAATCTATCCATCTTATAGTTTTAATGCATTTCAAAGAAAGTTGCAGGCATAATTACTTAAGCATATCGTATATCATTAACTAGAGTTTAATAATTTTTACAGATTTTAGATAAAATTTATAAATATGGAATGCACAAATCTTAAGTTGTTTTTTTTTTTTAAAAACAAATGCTTACTTATACTTCTGTAACCCAAATCTCTATCAAGACACAGGATATTACTGCTGCCCAAAAAGTTCCCTCATGCCAATTTCTATTTCTAGTCAATCTCCACCACATTTCCATCTCTAAACGGAACTCCTATTGGTGATTTATTTTCCTACCAGAGGTCAGTTTTGCAGACAATTTTTAAATCCAAAATTTAAAACAAAGAGTGATCATCAGGTTGAGGAATCAAAAAAGACTTCATGTGGATGGACAGATGTATAGATAAATGATAACATAAATAGAGCAAAATGCGGTGTAACTGTAGAAATTAGGTGGTGGGCATATGGGTATGACAGTTATCAATTTATTACCTCAAAGCACCAAATCTACCTTTTTTTTGCCCTGCTTTCTGACACTGGAACTAAACTCTGTCAACATTTCTCCTTTGCCAGCCTAAGAGAGGGCAATGGAATGACTTTGGCAAGGTGATAACTGCAGAGAGACACTTCCCTTCCGGACTTTGGTCCTCCATTATTATTATATTATTATTATTATTCAGTGTGGGAGCCCAGGAGCCCTCCTGAGGAAACAAGTTCCAGCTGTGGCTGCAGGTTCCCCCCGACAATGAGCACTTCTGTAGATCATGCAGCCATGTTAGACACGGCCTTTTTGAAGAGGTCTGAATCCAGGTTTTAGGAAGAAGGGATGTCCCATGGGGTCTTTCTTCTCTATCCTAGAAGTAGAAACCGCTCTACTGTATCTGCTGCTTCTGGGACCCTTAGACTCAGCTTTTTTCCCCTTTCAGTAGTTAACCACCCTTCCCCTTGTTCTAGTTAACAATTCATCATATTGAATTTTCAAGTAATCAGTACAGTTTGGTCTCCTAACTGAACCTAGGCTAATATAAAGGGTATTCACTGTATCCTGGACAATTGAAAACGTTGGGGAAGGGAGGAAAAGAGAAGAAATATATTTTAAAAGATTGGCAAAATGTTAATATTGGTGAAGCTAGATGATGAACAGAGAAAATAAAACTACTATATGTTCATTTTATGTATATTGGAAATTCTGTACTCAAGAGTTAAGAAAAAGAAGAAAGGCTTTATAAAGGTCAAAGCATTTGAAGAGAGTTAGAATAGAGTTTAACAGGCAGGAACAGAGGATGAGATTCCAGTTGAGGAAAAAGCACAAACATGGAGGCTGAAAACTGAAGGACATGTTTGAGCAACAGCAAAAAGGCTGGCTAAAGACATGTAATGCAAATGAATATGTTTGGTGAGATTTTTTTCTCCCTTTTAACCTTCACTCCTGTATTTTAGTTTTTCACATTTAATTGCTTTCACTTTCCCCCTACTCCCCTGTCCTTGCCCCAGCCCATATTTCTACTTACTGACCAAGGCCTATAGTTCTTCCCATTATTCCCTACTTCTTATAAATGATAAATTGATCCATTTCAGAGGCGTTTTGTATGTCTTAATTTTTTTAAATAACAGGCATAATTATATCTATCTTTGGACACATTTACGAGAAAATGTAGATATGTTTGTGCTTATACAGCAGTATTTTTTTAAATTCAAAGCCATAAGCAGTGACATAAAACAAGTTTTCATAATCTCTAGTTAGTAGAGAATAGGAAAAAGCACTAATTGATTTATTATTATTTAATAGCTCCTCTTTCTTTTTATAATCACAAAACAGATCTATATGCAGAGTGAATATATGTGTGTGTGTATGTCAGCACATTATCTCCAGGAAGGGATTTGTAATATTCTTTGTGGGTGGTGAATACAGTTGAACAAATAATAAAAAGAATACCTAATGTTTTCCCCACCCACTAATACATTTAAAGTCTCCTTAAGCCCCTCTCCAGTGACATGTCTCTTCTTTCTTATTTCCTAGAAATGATAATTACTGTGAAATTTGATTTATGAAAAACATGCTTGTTTAATCCAAACCAAAAATATTATAAATTATAAAAACAGCTAGACATTTAAAAGAAAGAACTTATAGAGATAAAGTCATAGAGAACAAATATTTCCAAATAAAACATGTATTACGAAAATTTAGAAAAAGGATATATGACTATAGACCTGTCACCCACACTAAAATATTCAGATACCCCAACTAAGCTCTTCTCTCTCCTAACCCCATTAGTAGGGTCTGAACTTGTCGTTCTCTTTCAAGTCTCTACATATGGCACATGCTACTTAGAATGTGGCAAGGACATAGGTATTCCAGAATAGTAGACAGCAGCAGACAAATATTGTTCAGTGTCACCCAGGCAATGACTCAGCTTTCTCAACCCCTCCACAAGGACGTGGGCTTGCTGATGCTAAGCCTGGTTCAAGATTCAGGACAATGTAATGTTCCTAAACATTCTTTTAAATGAACACTCTGAGACAGTTAATGTGCTTTCTTCCAGAATAAAAAGACAGAGGTTAAGACAATTGGGTTTCTTTCTCACCTGACAGGACCCTTCCTGTGTAGTCAGTATAAGAAACAGCTTCGCTCTCCATAGAGAAGCACAATGGCAAAAGAAATGCCCCATCAAAGATACGTTGCAGCTGTTCCTATTCTAGTTGATGCCTTGCTTCCACTAAATTCTAGCAGCTGTGCAACAGAACTTTCTGTGATGGTGAAAATATTCCATGTTCTGTCATATGTGGTTATTGAGCACTCGAAATGTAACTAGTGTGACTGAGGAATTGGATTTTTAATTTTGTTTAATTTAAATTAAATTTAAATAGGTATGTGAGGCTACAGTCTTGGACAACACAGTTCTAGAGCCTTAAAAAAAAGGAAACTTAAAGAACTTATGTTTGCATGTTGACATAGAAATGGCATTTGAAAACAAGCAATTCATGAATTAGATCACTTAAGGATTAAGTGTAGACAAAAGAATACAGACACTCCAGTGTTCAGAGGTCGGAGACAAGAACTTGCGAGAAACACTGGGGCCAGGGGAGCAACCAGTGTGACATAAGAGGAGAACTAGGAAAGTATGTTGTCTGAGAGCCCTGTGAATAGTGATTCAAGGAGTCGTCATTCAGCTTTGATATTGATAGATCAAGTTGGAAACTAAGGTGTTATATTTCTTTCCCACAATAGCAAACCCTCCAAAACTGAAGAGAGAAAAACTGAAAGATACCACTCGGCACTCATTTACCAATGACAGAGAAAAACCAGAAGTTATACCAATGTTACTTAACATATATATTTCATTTGTATTCATTACATATGTGCTATTCTAGAGTATCACATCTTCCTTTTAACAGCCACATGAAACAAGGTTTCAGAGACCACAGCAATTCTCCAGAGCAGCATTAATTATAAATGAAAACCTCATAAGCTGTTTTACTGGCTGAGGCTGCCTGTAACAATCAGTGTCTTATTCAGCTGCTACGCTCTCCTTAGAAATGCAGGTGTGGAATAATTAAACGCTCAAGATAATTTAAAGAGCAACCAGTTTCCAAAAGAGAATGGGCAAAAGTGTCAACATTCACGGAGGACTTACAGAAAAAGTTAGATCTATGGACTGTGAGCCCCAGGAAGGGAAGGGCTTACCTCCCACAAAGCAGGTGCTCGATATTTTTCATTTAACTTTAAAAGAGCTGCATTTTACAGCGGAGAGGGGACGTAAAGTTCAGAACACTACTCCCTCCAGAACACTATTGCCCCAACACACTGCGCGGAGAAGGGACTGGCGAGCTCGCGGGCATCCGCCTTGTATATCAGCACCGGGTTAGCTAAAAGCAACGCCAGACGGTGCATAACTGCATTCTGGACGCTAAAGTTAAAAGAAAACCCCTCGCCCTCCGGCCCGGGCTCACCTGCCTCCTGAGTAAGACGCGTGGCCTCGCCCTCCTCAGAGGGGGGTCGCCGCAAACCGCTCACCTCTTCACCGGACACAACCTGGGATGGTCCCCTGAATAAAGGAGGACCCGGGAAGGGGCGGCGCGCTGCTCCGTCTTCAGCGTCTCAGAACTGCAGCCGCCAGATTCCTCAGGTATCACCAGCTGCCCGTGCGTGCGCTCGCTCTCCCGCTTCGTCGCTTAGCAACAAGAGAAGCCGACCAGGCTTCCCGACACGTCAATTCCTCCCGCTCCTTCAGTGTGAATCGTAGTTTAAAAGATTTTGTTTCCGGGTCAAGCGGGCCGTGCGCAACGGGAGACGTCTACCTCCCACGTTTACTCTTGGCCCAGGATAAAGTCTCAGTTGCACATGTGGGTTGTATAGCTAAGGGGTTTGACTCTGCTTCGACTGACACACGCCCCTCCTGCCGCCAATTGCTGGGCGCTCTCAGGCAGTCCTTTCCTTCTGTGCCCAAACAATTCGCTTATTGCCCTTCACCATCCGCTTATTGCCCTTCTCCAATCACAGCGGCTCGCCCTCGGGGACTACTTTGCAATCTGCGAGGAGCGCACGGAGAAGGGAGTAAGAGGGCACTAAGACCTCGGGAACTGTAGTTCAACACTTGAAGGAAATGCGTTGGAGATTGCGCCGAGTCAGAGCAGCATAAACTACAATGCCCAGAAGGTGCCGCGGTCGGCAGCCAGAGCCTTTTCTCTCTAATACCGCTCGCCTCCCAGAGTCGGTTCCGCTGTAGAGGTGACCTGACTCTCAGAGGCTCATTTTGCAGGTGCTGAAATTGTCAGCGCGGGTTCCAATCATGGTGAGTGTGGGCCCCTGGATCCTGCCCACCTCTGGCCTTCGCGTCCTTATCTGAGGTTTCTTTCGCTTGAAGGATTTTTGGGTGGCGGTTGTGCAGGGCAATGTCCTTCACGCCCTTTGGAAAGCTCCGACTCATCTGGGGACTGTCGCAGTGACCTAGTAATTGGGAAGGGATTGATTTCTACCTGAGGTATAGGGAGGTGATGGGGGGTTCTTAGAAGGTCTCTAGAGAAATCGCTGTCCTTAGACAGGTGCGATCTCAGTCCTGCTCTATGGCGTGGATACAAAATATGAAGCTGCGTATTTTCTCCAAAGCACGATATTGAGGGGTGGAGGTGGGTCCTAACCTTTTCTTTTTTCTCCTTTTGTGCCCACTGTTTTTAAGGGCTTTTGTCACAAAACCCTTGAAAGCAGAAGGCCCTCGACTGTAATGATAGTGTTTAGCAGATGCTCCAGATTACGATCTACGCTTTCGGGAGATGTGTTTCAGCCATATCTAATTTCACAAAATGTCGTTTAAAACGTGTTCATTGATGTTTAAAACATCTCATTTTGTAATGACAGGACGTGTCGCAGTGACAGCATCAGTAGCCAAATAGCTACTGCAGATATTCTTTACTGATCTGTTCGTTATGAAATCTAGAACCACTACTTTTAAACGTTACACAATGTAACCATCTTGTCTTGAAGCTCTGAATACCTAAATTACCACGTCTTGTGTCTGCTGAAAGGACGAAGGCGGGTTGGTAAGGGAACTCTGTCGCAGGAATGATCTGCAAGCTGTTTGAAGGTGACATGTGACATCAGACTGAGAGAAATTGCTTCAGTACTTGTATTTATAGTTGAGACTATTTTTCCTCCGTTATCTCAAAATACTGAAATGGGTGGGGAGTGTGGGGAAATATTTAAATGGATTGGAAATTTTCCAGAACCTTAAAGACATGTTTTCAAGGCAAGGGGATTACTCTCTCTACCTTTAAAAGGGGGTGAGTGGAAAAGCTAATTCTCATTAATTATTAAACCTAGATTTTCTATTTACTTTGTCAGATAACATAGTCATTTAATGACGGTTTCAGTGGTTCCTGACTTAATAATCTTAGCAAGAAAGCAGAGGTCTTTATTGTCAGAGAACTGCAAACTATAATTTTAGAACTTGATAGGACCTTTTAAAGATCATTTTGACAAATCTCCTTTCAGATCTTAAAATTGAGTTTATTGAAACCCAAAAAGAATGTGATTTGCTCACGGTCACACAACAGTTTGCCCCCAAGGGTCTCACACTTCCCATTTTACCATATTGTGTCATACAGACACTTAACAAGTAATTCTGAAAATTTACTTTTAATAGCTAAGGTTCTGGATGAAGATACAAGCTCATACTGCAAATACAAACTAAACTATGTTATCAGCATTTGTATTACCTGATAGCTTCATTCCTTGCAATTCAGAATATAGGAATTCTAGAATTGGAAGGGAATTTGGAGATTATTTCCTCTAATCTTAAAATATAGCCTTGTGAGGTCAAATATTTTCCTAAGGTCACAGAGAGATCCTGAGCCCCCATTCTTGTGTTGTTTTGCTACACAGTAGATCAAACTAGGCCTCATTCCTGGAAGGTCACTTGGTACCAGATACCACAGAAACATTTATGAAGATGAATCCCTCCAGTCAATTTGCTGAAATTGACAGCAAATTCTCACATGACTCAATTTCCTTGCCTCCTCAGGAGAGTGTGTGAACAATCACTGAGTTAGAAAAGAGCCATCTTTTGTAAGCCCTTCAAAGCAATTTTTTTAAAGGAGCAAATTGTTTGCTTGTGTCTGTCATATAGGCAGGGACAGCAAGAATGAACTGTATGAAGAAATCTGAATGATACTATTTGTCTTTTATATTACAGAAATACATAGAAAGCAAAAAAAAAAAGGAATACATATTATTTCTGTAGAATAACAGAAGGAATACGTGTTATTTCTGTAGAATAACGTAAGGAACACTTAAATTTAAGCTTTGCAATTAAGACTTGAGCACATGCGCAAGATAGATCCTCTATCTGCAGGAAGGTCATTAATGCCCTGCCAAGGGCAACGACATTCCTTCTTTGGTTCTTGGCAGACTGCCCAGATATCTAAGCAAAGAATAGTAACCTGTCTTAACACTGTAATATTGCATTGTAAAAAGTCAGCAGAAATCTCCCACCCTCCTTTTCAACTGCAATGTTGCAAAGAGCAGAAAGAACCAAATACATAGTTTGTTCTTTCCCTTTTCATCATCAAACATTCAGATACTAACTAGGCTTAACTACTACTACACTCTTAACAAGAGGGAATTACCTACTGTGAAAATAAATATATAGAAGGAAACTACTGAGGTGGAATTAGTAGTTGTTCATTAGGTGGCCACAACCCCTTCACTGTGGACTGTGATACTATGAACGCAATTTTTTAGTAGCTAAAATTAATGCCTAAAATTGACTGCATTATTCTGTTATAACCATCTAACTTTCTGGGAGGTTAAGCTTCATAAATAGTGATATTCATTTTCCCCCTCGTTTCTTATCCTAGTTTGCTTTACATTGAAGTAGCATGTGTTTACATTTTTCTTATTTTTATTCAAATTTTGTTGAACACTGCATAGAGCGCAAATTTGGGTCAAAGCTGGACTGCTCTCAGTCCACAGTCTGAAGCATATGCAGGGCGGGGGTAGCATGGTCTAGTAGAGAGTAACTGACATGTAAATAGAAAACCATGAGTTGTAAGAATCATTAGAGAGAAATACTGTGGTGAAAGCAATCTATAAATTATAGTACTTGCTACATACTGTTTAATGCTTTGTATGTTAACTCAATCCTCACAACTACCTTATTTTTTAGGTAGCTGCTATTATCTCCATTTTACTGTGGGGAAACAATATATAGAGGTCAAGTAATTCTTTTACGTTTCCAAGTTTTGGGTAGTAATTTTTTTTACAAGATCCAGCTATTCCTTCAGCAAATATTTGAGCTCCAACTTTGGTCAGGGGATTGTTCAAGGCAGTTGGGAGATACCAATAAATAAAATAGACAAAGCCCCTGTCATTAAGGAGCTTGAATTTTAAAGAAAGAGGGAATAATGTTTTCCTCTAGTCCCTTTTCCTTATGTACTCTACTTCAAGGGAAGAGGGGGGAAAAGACAAAGTTGAAAACGTAAAGGCCATGTTAACAGTAACCACATACAATAACTTTTAGTGTTCTTCGTAAACATAAAGTCTGGGAACATAAATATGTATTAAAAATGGTTTATTTGGGGAATTGTCATATTTTGTACATTTAGAGATATGGCTAGGTCAGGGAGAAACTCCACAGTTTGCTCCTTTTTTTCCACTCCCACTCTGGTCACATCTCTGAGGAAGAAATTGCATATATAGTCTGTTGTTAGATTAGATTCATTTCTCTACAATAATTGACACTTCTTTTGTGAGTGTTTTTTCCTTTGACTTATTGCTAAATGCTGCTGACCTTCAGAGGTTAGGGTTGGAAGGTTAGAAGGCCCCTTTGAGGTCATAATCTCCTTCCATCCCAGGGGCATGACTCCTCTGGATTAGAGAATTCTAAATATAAAGAAATTAAACGTTTCTTTCCCCAGTCAGTTCAGTGGGCCACTTCTCTCATGCAGGGAGCGATAGAGGTGACACAGAGTGGAAGTACATTTACCCAGCATTATCAAAGGAACAGTTCATCTTGATTGAATTTTCTAATTAATTTATACCCATTAAGTTTCCAAACATTTTTGTTTAACTCTTTTTAATAAAAATATTTCTATTTAATTCTCTGAGCTTAATTTATTTTAATGACTTGGAGTCATCACTTTGACTATTAGTTATTTTTGTCCATATGTCTGTATTTTGTTCAGAATCTGCTGAGATCTATAAGGTGACTTCTCTGTTGTATGCTCTTTGTACTTTTCTCTCTTCCTCCCTTTTAAAATTAATTTTCCATTGGAATCGGGTTGTCAACTGTTACTACATGTTGCTGTTACTTAATATTAAAATTTATTTTAATCCAAATGTTATCATTTTCTCATTTTCCTTCCCCTAAAATAGTCTTATTTTTCCTCCATATAGTTGAGTTGAATCATGACTAATAGTTTTATTAAAACTCTCAGGCTCATTATAACTAGAGTCAGGAGTAACCACTGTTACTTCTCTTCTTGGTGTAAAGTATTGAGCAGATGGGAGTGGGCAGATTTGCATAAGAGGATTTGTGAGGTTGTAGTAGCCGCTAGGGTTTGTATCACCATATAATGCATATCAACATTGTTAGGCCTATTTTAGTGGTAAAATAACCTTAAAAAGATGGATAAGATTATGTAAGTAAATCCAGTATAACCGCGAGAGTTAAATAACACTACATAAATATGCAGCCAAAGGACACATGTTCCAGAAGTTGTTTAGTTGGTTTGTGCATGCTGTTTTTACTGGGATAAGTTTGTTTTCTAACTAAGCCACACACAGACTAAAATTTTGCATTAACTTTTAAAGTATGTGGTTGTCTTATACTATAGAGAAACTCCTGAATATCCTTAGGGTAAAACACTTTTTAATAAGATGTTAATGAATCTCTTTCGTTATAGTCTGAACCAATCAGAGTCCTTGTGACTGGAGCAGCTGGTCAAATTGCATATTCACTGCTGTACAGTATTGGAAATGGATCTGTCTTTGGTAAAGACCAGGTAGGGGCAAAGGTCTATAAATCTTAAGTCAAAGTAAGAATACTGTCAATAAAATCCTGCATTTGCAATGAAATTTTTAAATGGTGAAGGAATATGTAATCCCAATAAATGTACTAGGCACACTGCTATAAATGGAAGCTGGTAGCTTATTGATATGCACCCCTCCAGGCATTAAAAATGTTTTGCATATCATGTGTTTAGTTAACTTGGTGCAGCCAGCAGGTATCAGTCAGTGGAAAGTAGTCGCTAAAGTAGTCTTTAGGAGAGTTAGGGAGAGTCATGTGGGAGAGAAAGGTGCTGAATCAGCACTTCCTTATTCATAAATAGTCTTTAGACCCAAAATAGACAGGTAAATATACTTCCCAGTTTGAAGTAGTCACCCCCTATTCCAGCAGATTAATGTACACTAAAATCTTTTTCTAAAGTATTCATTTATCCATTCTCTACCTCCATGCTAGATACTGTACTTACTTTCCATGAACTGAAATCAGATATTTAGCTATTAACAAGACTAGTCTGTGGCATGTCACTTCAATTTGATATTTGTTCCATGTACTCCTTTAAAATTCAGTAATGGTGATTCCTCTTAACTGTGTGTTAGCACACCATTGCTGGTATTATAGCATTCTTTTTTCTAAAAGTGGCATCATCCTAGATATCTGACCTAAAATAATTCTGACTAATGGAAATTATATACAAATATGCATCAAATAAGCAAAAGCTTTATAAAAAGACTTTTTTGTGACTAAATGACAAAACCTACCCTGACGGATGCTGTCCTTCCTATTTATTTGGTAGCCTATAATTCTTGTGCTGTTGGATATCACTCCCATGATGGGTGTCCTGGATGGTGTCCTAATGGAACTACAAGACTGTGCCCTTCCCCTCCTGAAAGGTGAGTTGAGGGGTGGAGGAAAGAGGGATTTTATAGTATTTTATATCTTTTAAAAAATAGATTTTAGATTTTTGTTAACTATATTCTCAATTAGAAGTTATAAAAGTTTTCAGTTTTTGTTTTTTGAACTACAACTACTTGGTAAGATGTATACCAAGAATAAATAAGGATAAAAGCAAGAAATAACTAGTGTGAGGTAAAAGACTATACTTTTGTCCAACATGTTTATATGTAATTTATTTTACTAATTAAGTATAATATTGCACAAGGGTTATACACCTGAGATTGTCTACATTGTATTGTTATTTAAAGTCTATTTAAAGAGTAGGGTCCTGTACTAGAGAATTTTCCAACTCTAAATGATGTCCTCCAGAGCCATATGCTGCCCTAAGACTGGAAATCGGTTGGTCCCTCATATATAATCCCATTCCATCTGCCAGTCATCAGATTGATATGTAGTGTAAATTATCCCAATTATACACTGCATAGTTTGGAAACGCCCACCAGATTGCTGCTAAGAGCCTTGAAGAATCATTGAACTATTAAATAAATGTAAGATAGAAGTCTTCAATTTAATTAAAAGGTTCATTAAAATATTAGGTCAAGTTGTAAACTAATTTAAATATATTTTCTTTTAGCTATTACCTTCATCATAATCTTTTTCTTCTGGTACGGATTTATTTAGTAATACTCTCTTAGAAGTTTGCACAAAGCTAAATATATAACACCCAAGAGAAACCATGCTTAGAGTTCATGTATATGTTTAGTAAACATTTACTAAACATTTACTAGAAGGGGTACTCCATTTAACTCATTTGGTTACACAGTTATGTAAAAGAACTCGTTACCCTGCTTAAACTATTCGGCTGGCTCCCTTTCCTCACCATCTGTTTCCAAATCAACTTCCTCTGTCACTTTTTCTCATTTTTATTCCTTTCTCTGATGAGATCCCTCTGCTCTCTCTAATGGGCCTAGATTACAGTCAGTTTGTCCTTGATCATCTGTGAACATGACAGGGAAGAGAAAGTTCAGAATGTGTGGCTGGGAAAAAGATGGATTTCTTTTTTCTCCAACTGGTGTTCCTTTGTATACCTCTGAGGGGTTCTATTGGCAGCCTGACTGACACAAATTCACTGACCTAAAAATTTACCAATCCTAACGCTCAATCCTGGTTGCCTTAGTCTATTTGGGCTGCTTTGACAAACATACCACAGACTGTGAACAACGGAAGCTTATTTCTCAGTTCTGGAGACTGGAAGTCAGAGTTCAAAGAGCCAGAAATTGGGTGTCTGATGAGAGCCCAATTCCTGGTTCATAGATGATGATCTTCTCACCACGTCCTCACATGGTGAAAGGGATGAGGCAGTCCTCATGACCTAATCACCTGCCAAAGTCCCCACCTCCTAATACCATCAGATTGAGGATCAGGTTTCAACATATAAATTTCATGGGGGGACACAAACATTCCATCTGTAGCACTGGTCGTGGCCTTTTTAATACTCTTAACAAAGGAGAGGAGTGATACATATGTTCTTTAATCAAAAAGCAAGTGGTATGTGTTAATTAGATTAACACTGTACTATGGTGATTAAACTTTGGGCCGACCTGGACTGGAATTACAGCCCCATTACTTTTTGATGGCACCTAGTTTATCTTTAAACTTAGTTGTCTTCATCTGTAAAATATTTTCCAAGATTAAATTTGATAAATTTCTTAGTATTATTTCTGGTACAGAACTCCTCAATAAACATTTTTAATTTGTGATTGATATCTAGACCTTAAAGTAATTATAACTTAAAGGTTAAGTGAATTAGTTTCTCTTGTGTTATCTGTGGTTATTAGCATAACAAATGTTGCCTTGAAAGTCATACCTTGCATCATATCTGATTATAAAAGATAAATATTACAGAATTTTTGAAATTGAGATAATTTTTGAAATAGGAAAAACAAATGTATTGACATTGCTGATGTAATGGTTGTTGAATTCATAGATTGTCTTTCTTTTCTTAGACCCCTTAAACGTTTATCAATGCAATATATAAAAGTAAACATTTGCTACAAAGTGAAGGAGTTACTGGATAGATTCAATATGAAAAAGAGAAAAAAATATGAAAAAGAAAACCTCAGACTTTGGCATTTAAGTATCTCTACATATTTATTGCCATGTTCACAGATGTTATTGCAACAGATAAAGAAGAGGTTGCCTTCAAAGACCTGGATGTGGCTATTCTTGTGGGCTCCATGCCAAGAAGGGATGGCATGGAGAGGAAAGATCTACTGAAAGCAAATGTGAAAATCTTCAAATGCCAGGGTGCAGCCTTGGAGAAATATGCCAAGAAGTCAGTTAAGGTGACTAATACAGTAGTAGTTTTGGGTTTTTCATTATCAGCATTTGATGCTTCTGCTTTTCATCTTTTCTGTGAAAACAAAATTATTTGCCTTCCCCCAACCCCCGACCCAGTTTTGCTTGATTAGCTCTCACTTCTGTGTTTTCCACTTATAGTGTAGAAATCAATATTCAGAGGTGCTTGAAAATATTTCACCTATTACTATGACATGGAAGTTCAATATTAGTTTGTAAACCCACAAGACATAGAACTTTCTGGCCTTTTAATTGTGTGGGAATATTTGTTCAGACATATGGTTTATGTGTGTGATTGTGGAGGGAGATGGCTGTAAGATGCATTCTCAGCAATAGGAGATGGGGGCTTCTGAATGCTCAAATTTTCTCAATCTAGTGGAATTTCGATATGCTTGTCCCTTGAGTTGGTATGACTTCCTGTTCTCTTTATGTTCAAGCTATTTTAGTTTCTAAATTTGTCTTGACATTGCAGTAAAGCTGCCTTTTACCAATTAAATATCAGTGAACTAGAACTTAATTGTCCAGTAAAAGGTTTGCTGGTTAGAGGTTTTACTGATGTTGATACGCTGCTTTCTCCCTATCCTGACTTCAAAGAAAGATAAAAGACTATTTTATAAGATTTTTAAAGTTTCCTATTGTAATATTCTGTCTATTTCATAGACATCTGAACTTTTCCTTTCTGTGGACTTCATTTTAAATGTTAATTTTTATTTTCTGTAATCATTAGTAGGAAATAATATAAATGAGTGGAAATCCACAGATCTCTTAGTAAAAAATTTCAAAATTGTTTGGACTGCTAAAATCCAGGCTGCTTACCCAGTAATCATCCCTAAGCCAAAAGTGTCCTTTCGGGGGTACTATACACTGAAACTGGAGTAGGGGCAAAGATTTTTAATACTTAAAAAAAAGTCAATATATATGTTTTCCGATACTGTATCGTAATCCAGTGTATCCATACCTCCCCCAATTTAAAAAAAAAAAATGCCTGAAATGCTCTCTCCTAAAGACTGACTCAATAGGTATGGAGTGAATGGAATCTGGAAATCTGTACTTTCACAAATATTCCAATTCTTAGGATTAGGCAAGATGAGAAACACTTTTAAGTCATAAAGACAAATCGTCCTAAAGTAAACTGCTCAAGTAGAATTTCTTTCTTGGACTGCTTTTATAAGAAGCAAAATTTTATCAATGAATCAAACTGAGATAGAGCGTTAGATTATTTGCTTTTTATGGCAAGTAGATAAATGTTCTCTCTCTTTTAGCATAAAACAAAATAGAAAGACATGTACCTTAGGTCTTAGACAGTGCTACCTGGAAGGTGATTTGTATACATCATGGTGATTTTATTTAAAAAATGTTTTCAGTAGTCATAGCAAACACTAACAAGGGGAAAATGTTTTTAGAAGGGAGGATGGAAACCTACTGAAAACTACAATGATAAGTATACACAAACTTGATACAAAAGTTACATGTTCCACATTTATCAGTCATATTCTGAGACAGCTTAGTTAATCAGTGTATGGTCTCTTAACTGTTGTGCCTCTGGTTCATCATAGGTTATTGTGGTGGGAAACCCAGCCAATACCAACTGCCTGACTGCCTGCAAGTCGGCACCATCTATCCCCAAGGAGAACTTCAGTTGCTTGACTCGTTTGGATCACAACCGAGCTAAAGCTCAGGTAAGAAAAATGCCTTTTAAAATCTTATGAATGTTCAACTTTTTAAAACCTTTTTCTCTCGCTTTTAAAGTTAGTCTCTTAAGGACCAGGGCTGAACTTCCTACTCAGTTTTCTCAACTATATGTCATTTGCTTACTATAATTAAATATGTTTGTTAATGTTCTCACTGTAGTGACTAAAAAATATTCACTATTATAGATAATTCCTATGATGGTACATAATTTAGTTTATTTTTGTCAGATATATAGGAGATTATAAAATGAAAGACTTCTGCTTTGTTTTGATTAGTTCTGCTTCC